TTCCCCACGTTTTCAGAAAAAACGTAGCAGACGTAGCCTCACAAAAAAAAAAACGTACGGACAAAAAGCAAGTACGGCGGGTTGTGACCGAGGCTTTAACACGCCTGACGTACCTTTAACAAAATATTTATACTAAAACACAACGAAAGTTCAGCTATGCCAGGGAGCTGACGTAACGTAAACAAACGGAGATTGTTACCTCGCGCGTAAAAATCATGAGTGCCCTGTAACAAAAACATCAAGGAAGTCGTTCTCCTAGTTATTGCCTCACACGTCCGTTATGTCAAAACTGCACCTGGTATCAAAACACCCTCCTTAATGGTCATCTAATATTCCTAACAGATGACGATACTGCTTCTCCCCTGTTGTTAAACTTGGCTCCCCCCCTCCCCCAAAACACCAAATGACCCATTCTTTATCGGATCGTTTGTTACCTCAACACCGTATCCGGTAACCACCTCCCGGGGTTCCCAGGTCTGCAGTTAAGGGCTCATTTGTTTTCATTGCGCATGTGCCGACAGAGAAAACAATGTGGGTTGGACAGACCTTTTAGTTCCTCTAGGAGGTCATTTTTGCCCTGGATGTTTTCATGGTTACCAGCAAAGAAGCGCAGTAACGTCCACCGTCGTATCTCAGAGACTCAACCAAGGTGTGACAATAGTGAGTAAAGGAACTTTTTTTCCCGTTCCTATGGTCTAGAGCTAATGACGCTTCATAAATGGCGCACTTTGCAGGTGTTACAAAGAGTGGTTGGTCCTTTAGAAAACTTTCTAACACTCACCGCTTCCAAAACATTCCTGATTACAATCACTGATAGTGAAATCTGCGAGGATTCGGAGCACTACTGGTTTTCAGTGGTATTTCAGACGTTGGAATGTTGTAAAGCAAGGTGAGGTTTACCAGCACAATAGCAGAGTAACCTAGCACCGCCATGTTTAGACATGTAACGCTGGTGTAAATATTTGGTGTATAAACTAATCTATTACTCGTGTGGTTTGGAGGTAATGAATAGACAGTGTTACGAATAGACTGTGTGTGTTTTGTGGGTAATGGTAAGGCCACACCGATTTAATTTTATGGATGACATCATCTGAAGACCCCCAAACTAGTGCGCGGGCGAATAAAAAAAAAATCCGGCTTAAAAAAAAAAATGCTTCTAAAGCACAGGAATGCGAAGCTGGTATTGTCAATTTGCGGCAGTACATAGCGACGTATGCCACAAGCCGGCACATGCTGGCTTTTTGTGGAATTTATGAATCGGCACTGTACATATGTCTAAGTTTTTGAGGCGTGGAGCTTCGGTAGCCATCCTCTAAAGTTACCACCGCCGTATTGTGGCTAACTAACATGGACTACCTAGGCCTAGAGCCAGGCCAGAGCCTCGGAGGGCGTGATCTTTTTTTTTTGGTGAGAACAGGCGAAAATCAATGCACGCGCGGATGTCATCTATACAATTAAGGCGGTGTGGCCTAACTGCAGCATGACCCATGCTTCTGGACAAAAACAAGTTTCTCAGTTTCACTCTGGTGTGCGAAAGCCTATTTCACAATAAACACTGATAGTCAATGGTGTTGATGCTCTACGTGGTGTTGCTTATCACCAATGAGTAAATACTATAGACAAAGCGACTAAAGGCTTTGAGCAAATGCTAAGTAAAATCAGATTTGTCTTGTGACATATGAATTGCAAAAATGCAGGTCCTTAGACAAAAAAAGGACTTTTATGGTTAGCAATGAAAATTTTTCAACGCAAGGCTATTATAGTAAAATTGGTTTGTTTTTGTTGCGACATGCCAACAGCAGAAATCTGTTATGTTAATGAATATTCATGGGAAATTTTATGGCAGTGATGGAAAATTTTCAACGCGGGGCTATTTCTCAAAAATTGGTATTTTTGGGTTCGTTGTGAAATGCCAAATGAGAAAAGGTATATTTCATTGACAAATATTGATAAGGGACCCCCCTTGGACAGAAAAGGAATTTTAATGGTAATAATGAAAAATTTTCAACGCGGGGCTATTTCGTGAAAATTGGTATTTTTGGGTTCGTTGTGAAATGCCAAATGCGAAAATGTATATTTAATTGGAAATATTGATAAGGGGCCCCCTTGGACAGAAAAGGATTTTTTTATGGTAATAATGAAAAATTTTCAACGCGGGGCTATTTCGTGAAAATTGGTATTTTTGGGTTCGCTTAAATTCTATTTCGCTTAAATCTCTCTAGAGCGTAAGGCAATTTTAATGAAGAGCTTATTCTAAAGGTGGTGAGGGATTTTCTCTTATGCCTAGGTCACAACCGGGGCTTTTACGTCAAGTAACTACTAAATTATCCTACAGATGTCGATACAGCATGCTTAACAAAAACATCAAGGAAGTCGTTCTCCTAGTTATTGCCTCGAACGTCCGTTATGTCAAAACTGCACCTGGTATCAAAACACCCTCCTTAATGGTCATCTAATATTCCTAACAGATGACGATACTGCTTCTCCCCTGTTGTTAAGCATTGGTTCCCCCCTCCCCCAAAACACCAAATGACCCATTCTTTATCGGATCGTTTGTTACCTCAACACCGTATCCGGTAACCACCTCCCGGGGTTCCCAGGTCTGCAGTTAAGGGCTCATTTGTTTTCATTGCGCATGTGCCGACAGAGAAAACAATGTGGGTTGGACAGACCTTTTAGTTCCTCTAGGAGGTCATTTTTGCCCTGGATGTTTTCATGGTTACCAGCAAAGAATCGCAGTAACGTCCACCGTCGTATCTCAGAGACTCAACCAAGGTGTGACAATAGTGAGTAAAGGAACTTTTTTTCCCGTTCCTATGGTCTAGAGCTAATGACGCTTCATAAATGGCGCACTTTGCAGGTGTTACAAAGAGTGGTTGGTCCTTTAGAAAACTTTCTAACACTCACCGCTTCCAAAACATTCCTGATTACAATCACTGATAGTGAAATCTGCGAGGATTCGGAGCACTACTGGTTTTCAGTGGTATTTCAGACGTTGGAATGTTGTAAAGCAAGGTGAGGTTTACCAGCACAATAGCAGAGTAACCTAGCACCGCCATGTTTAGACATGTAACGCTGGTGTAAATATTTAGTGTATAAACTAATCTATTACTCGTGTGGTTTGGAGGTAATGAATAGACAGTGTTACGAATAGACTGTGTGTGTTTTGTGGGTAATGGTAAGGCCACACCGATTTAATTTTATGGATGACATCATCTGAAGACCCCTAAAACTAAAGCGCGGGCGAATAAAAAAAATCCGGCTAAAAAAATGCTTCTAAAGCACAGGAATGCAAAGTTGGTATTGTCAATTTGCGGCAGTACATAGCGACGTATGCCACAAGCCGGCACATGCTGGCTTTTTGTGGAATTTATGAATCGGCACTGTACATATGTCTAAGTTTTTGAGGCGTGGAGCTTCGGTAGCCATCCTCTAAAGTTACCACCGCCGTATTGTGGCTAACTAACATGGACTACCTAGGCCTAGAGCCAGGCCAGAGCCTCGGAGGACGTGATCTTTTTTTTTTTGTGAGAACAGGCGAAAATCAATGCACGCGCGGATGTCATCCATAAAATTAAGGCGGTGTGGCCTAACTGCAGCATGACCCATGCTTCTGGACAAAAACAAGTTTCTCAGTTTCACTCTGGTGTGTGAAAGCCTATTTCACAATAAACACTGATAGTCAATGGTGTTGATGCTCTACGTGGTGTTGCTTATCACCAATGAGTAACCCTATTGTCACCTTCTATGTGTACTTAAACAGACTGTGATTAAGTCAGTACGGCCAGTTAGGTCGTAGTTAGGTCTAGACAGGGCGTGGTTCGTGGGCGGTGCTGGCAAAACTACCTGGTTCAAAACTTCATAGTTTTGTCTAAGTGTTCAATATCTGCTTCTACATCATACCTCAAGATAAACACAGCTATTCTATGGACAAAATTCTTTTTAAAAACATCTTCAGTGTTGCAGCGTTTTACCACAGCAATCCCTGAGTAACACAATGGACCAGACCAGCCTAAGTCTGTAACCTGAGTAGCGAGACTTCATTCTATTGCAGTCTTTAGTCAACAGCATTACGTACAGACAAAGTGCGCTTTGTGTCCGTTGTCAATCATGAGTACACACCTTCTGAGCAAAGGTCACAGACGTGTTTGAACGTTACACGGTTGATTTGCTGTAAAAGTCAGTCTCAACCGGACAAAAAAAAATGGTCGCTCTTGTCTCGTGACTAGTTCGCCTTTGTAGCTGTAGTACCCAACTAATACTAGAAATGTTGTTCAACGCCCCCTCCCTCCACAAAAAAACACAGTTTATTGTTAATTCTACCAAGACGTTGGCGGGAAAAGCAGTGTCTTCACCTTATAGCCCCACACGTAGTAAAATCAACACCTTCCCAGTGACTTTAGGACTAGCCTCACTTACGTGTGTGATGGTACTTACATAAATAATACTAGGGGTTAAGTGATAAAATTTAATTAAATTACATTTCTATACTATTTCAATAAACACTCCTTTTTTTACCGTTATTCAATCGTCCTAATCTTGTCAACATTCTTCTGCCATGTCGTTGACAATAACATTCCATATTCCATGTAATTTTTCATTCCACATTTACTGTGGTTCGTATCAGTGATACCCCCCCCCCTTCATGTTCAAAGATTAAATTAGTCTAAAGGGTCACACGCTATTTGTCGCTTCGAAGTCAGTCGATAGTTTCCTAAATAGCCCAGATCAGGCTTAAAGTCATAATAGTAGATGAACCAATATTTTAAATCAGGTGATTAGGGGCTTTATCTGATAATCTGGTCCACGGTTAAGACTGCGCAAGCCGATAGTGCGAAAACAAACAAAACTCGTCTCTACTATAAATATCATGGCCTGGCGTTCCTTTATTCCCTTAGTTATGGCATAGCTTCTTCACATCCCTTTGCCTTCGCCTTTGAATTGAATGCGCCGTCTTAATTGTGAACCACCTTATGCCAAATGTTGTACCACAGGGAACGGAGGATCTAACATGGCGGCGCGTCTCGACCTCCGGCCTCGGCGGACCGTTGACGGTTGCCTTGGTCTTGACCTGAGTAACCAGGGTCTGACGTCCATCCCGGAGGAGGTGTTTGACATCACTGAACTGGAGTTTCTAAATGTGTCCCAAAACAAACTCACCAGCATCCCGGAAGCGATCGGCCGTCTGTGGAAACTTGAGCGTTTGGGCGCTGACCGCAACAAGCTGACAAGTTTGCCACAGGCGATCGGGTCTTTGCAGAAATTGACAATGCTGTACATTTATGATAATAAGCTGACAGAGGTTCCACCAGGGGTTTGTTCTCTGTCCAACCTTGAGGTGTTGGGTGTCAGTAAAAACAAACTTTCCACCTTACCTCCTGGTGTGGAAAAGCTGCAGAAATTAAGAGAAATGGGCATTGATGGTAATCAGCTGACAGAGGTTCCACCAGGGATTTGTTCTCTGTCCAACCTTGAGGTGTTGAATGTCAGTAACAACAAACTTTCCACCTTACCCCTTGGTGTGGAAAAGCTGCAGAAATTAAGAGAAATGGCCATTGATGGTAATCAGCTGACAGAGGTTCCACCAGGGGTTTGTTTTCTGTCCAACCTTGAGGTGTTAGGTGTCGGCCCAAACCCCATCCGACGTCTCCCCGATGAAGTCACACAACTCGCCAGGCTGAAGACTCTCAAGGTTCAAGACTGTCAGTTTGAAGAGTTCCCCAGACAGGTGCTGCAGCTGGAGACACTGGAGAGACTGTATGCTAGCGGCTGCAAGATCGACACCGTCACCGATGAAGTGGGAACCTTACAGCACATGTGGTGCTTGTCATTGTCAAATAACCTCCTCAGAACCCTGCCGAGTACCATGAGTCACCTGCACGCCCTACGGGAGGTCTACATCTACGGCAACAAGTTCGACACATTCCCAGAAGTCCTGTGTAAATTGCCTGCCATGGTGAAACTGGACATAAGTGACAACAACATCACTAGGCTCCCAACCGCCCTTCACCTGGCAGACAAGCTGAAGGACTTGGATGTTTCTGGAAATCCCCTGACATACCCTCCACAGGATGTGTGTGCACAAGGGACGGGCGCTATCATTGCCTTCCTGAAACAAGAGGCAGAGAAAGGTAAGGTTTTGATGGTTATAAACTTGGTGAATAGTATCTGAGGAAGGTACGTCATGTACTTAATGGGTGCACTTGCGAAAAAGAGCCATAAAAATGACATTTTATAAGCTTTAACTAATGTTACCACATGAATGAAAAAAGTTATGACTGGAAATAATCAAAACTGCCTTTCGATAATGATAAGTGTTTATAATGATTGTTTTTTTTTAATTTCACGCGCGCACATCTAATTCGTATTCTCAATATGTTTCTGGTAAATGTAACGGTACTTTTTTCTCACTAGAGTCAATGGGAGATATTTTCTTTTATATAGATGCAATTTTATGATTTTCAGCATCTAGAATTTTTCTGTCTTTCAAGGTATTAATGAAACGATCCGCCAGAACTTCAACCGTCTGTCCGTGAAGGTGACACAGGCCCAGTGGAAACCGCTCGCCCGGAGCCTGGGGCTTAACCCAGGGACCATCAAGGTGAGATTGTCATCTTTATCGTCACTTTGCACATATGCACATATACCTCGACGTGATGATTTTCATACTTCTAAATCAGAATTGCTTGTAACTCAGCAGAACATAATTCATTGTTTGTCTTCTGCTTATCAAGTTTGAAATTAGATATCGAATATTACCACCTTCTATGTAACAACCGGAGATAAAACACGTGATTTCAAGTGGAAATTTGAAGTAAACAAACATTCAGACGTCTTCCTTGACTCCTTGTTTTACTAGGCTTCCGCCCCAGACGACGTTCCTGACCAGGTGTACCAGACCCTGGTGCAGTGGAAACTGAAGGAAGGTGAGGCGGCCACACTTCCCGCCCTGCAGCAGCACCTGAGAGAACTTGGCTTTGACCAGCTGGCAGAGCTGCTGCCACAGACACCCGGGGTGGGTTGTATGTCATTGGCCATCTTCATTTTTATACTTGAATTTGAATTCGAAGGGAAAAAAGTATTCAATTAACAGTTGCCAGCTGTCTTCAAATATAATGTCCTACATGTAGGTACAGGTAACAAACTAATGCTGTTAAACTAATGCAAAAAAGCCATACTACTATTAGTATCATATTGTTGCACACTTGGACATATGAAATGTCCTCACAAAGCCAATTGTACTTGTAGCTAAATCAATTTTTTGTCACCATTTCTTGGATGTGAATGTCATTTCAATTTCTTTCAAAAGAATCACTGATATGTGCTTACACCAGCTGTCCTAAAATGAAGGGCCTTATAAGTTACATGTAACATGTTAGTATATATAATACAATATTATAAGGAGGAGTCTCTTTTATATGGCCGGAGAAATACAGGGCTTCTTAGCAAGTATCTAAGTCTTCAGATGGTCTATTTTACTTTAATGTGTTGTTAGTATTAATTATTAATTAAGAATGGACGGAGCGGGTTTGTGTGGATTTGGTACAGCACCGCCCTCCCAATGACATCCTTGGCATCCCGAGGGGGGGGGTGTACACAAGACTGCCCCATTCCTTCTCCAACCCCCTTCCAGTGCTCCCTCACCCAGTGCCTTCCCTGTTGGTACCGTGACCAATCAGGATCCTGTATTTCTTGTGATTAAATCCACATAGCGTGGTCCCCAAAGAGACGC